GCAAGACAAGCACCCTACCTGTTGTACTACCTCTCTGGCCTAAAAATGGCTAATTTTAATATCCATTAATGTGAATGGATTATTCCAATTAATTAATTCTAGGGTTCTTTATATTAGCTCTCATCATGGGTATTATCAAATATCAGTCATAAAATAACATAAACTCAGAACTTACTTGTAATAATTGTACTAACCACTTTCTAAGTATTTTGTAATCCTATATATTGTTATGCATCTCTATACTAATTTACATGTGAAAAGTTATTACAGAGGTGAAAAAATCAGATTAGGTAGAGATTAAAGGCATATGCTCGAACTAGAGTTCCTGGCTTCAAACCCTATTCCAACATTTATCAGATGTATAATTTGGGGGATCTGAGATGGTTTCTCTGTTACTCAGTTTTCTAATTTGGAAAATGGGGATAATGATAGGAAGAGAGCTTGTGTCGTGGGTTATAGAATGGAAGAGGCCAAATGATGGGCATTTTGAGTTATCAGGTATCCTAAAAATTGTCCTTGGTAAGGAATTTTGAAGAAGTCTTAAACATCAGGAAACATTCTGTCACTCCTATTTGCACATTTTCACTGAGGTTACGGGGTCAACACCAGACAGGGAAATTCCATCAAAAATGATGTTATAGATGCATCAAAGTGGCATCAGAAATGATGGATTTGTTCCCACTGAGAGGTGGCCAGTGGGACCAAGGAAGGGGAGAGTCCACAGGGTTGCGATGCAATTGTGACTGGAGCACAGTTAACATTCTGTATAGCAGAGCTGGAGGGACTCTATAGGGGTGAAGGCACTTGCCTTGCACATAGTCAACCCCAGTTCAATCACTGACACCACAACAGCCCCCAGCCACTAATAGGAGTGATACCTGAGAACACAGGAGGAAGCCCTGTACACAGTTGGGTAGAGACTTAAAAACAAACAGCAACAACAAAAACACAAAAACACGTATATACACACAAACGTTCTGTATCTCCAAGCTGTCCGGGGATTACCTGAGGAAGATTTATAATTCCTACTCAGGCTATGCCTCAAGTAACCTGTAAATACCCTTTGACCTCTTTCAGGATTGTCCTAAAATCAGGTCAGACTTAAAACCCCATAGTTGTAAAGTTGAGTGCATCAAAACAAAACTACCAAGTTAATCTTAAGGGTCAGGTCCATCCAAAGCGTCACACTTTAGAAACGATTTCATGTGACTCCTAGACAGTTGGTCAGCATGGGATATTACCTCGTCAGCCCATAGCCCGGGTGAGACCAGCTTAGGAGAGGATTCTTCTGCTCTGTCTTACGTGTGCTAAGGGGTGATAGGGGGTCAGGGTTGGGGGTGGAGTGAGGAAAGGAAAACAAAAAAACAAAGACAAGAGAGAAGAGAAAAAGAAGAGATTGATATATGGTTATAATTATTCCCCAAACCTTTGTTTTGTTTCTATCTTCCCCACTACTTTTCTCATAGTCATTTAGCATTTTGTCTGATCTGTCCTCTAAAATCTTCACTGAGGAGGTTGAGTACGGCTCTATGGGACCCTGAGAGTGCCTTGGCTGGCAATATTCTTTTTATTTCTCTGAGATGATATTAACACAGGTGGCATCTGTCCATATTCTTTAATGGAAAAATTTCTCCCAAATAGATTCATTGATTAAGGTGCTTGCAGGTTGGTGCCTCAATTTCCCTTCAGTCAAGATTATGAGATGTTCCTTTCTCTTTTTTGTGATAAGACCTACCCAAGGTCTATACTTGGAAGAGGAATGTCTCAAGGGTTGACACAATAACCAGTCACCCAGGTGCTCCCTCCAAAGCAGGTAAGGAGAGGGACAGAGTGGGACAAGAGTGGGAGAAGCGTGGACTGGCATTATCAATGAAACTTTTGAATGCCACGCACTATTGTCTCCATGCTATGTCCACATAGTTCTGAAAGTCCCAGTTCTCAGCACCTTCTCTTCAATTGCCTGCTCCTACGAAGATTTCAATCACAGCTGCTGTTAACAAGAAAGGTCCTTCTACTCTCTCCAACCTCTTAAAATTCTCACTCCTCCTTTTGTGCTCAGGGCATTGTATTTGTTTAAACTCTATCTGGAGTCTAGGAAGCCTCCCCAGCAGTCAAGGTCTAAAAATGCAAGAAAAAGAATGCTACCACCCTGCCTGGAGATTTCCAAAGATCCTGTTTTTTTTTTTCTCCTTTTACATTATTCCACAGGCTGGAGCGATAGCACAGCGGGTAGGGCGTTTGCCTTGCATGCGGCCTTCCCGGGTTTGATTCTTCCACCCCTCTTGGAGAGCCCGGCAAGCTACCAAGAGTATCTTGCCCGCACAGCAAAGATTGGCAAGCTACCCATGATGTATTCAATATGCCAAAAACAGTAACAACAAGTCTCACAATTTGTTGTGAGATGTTACTGGTGCCCGCCCAAGCAAATCGATGAACAACGGGAGGACAGTGCTACAGGGCTAGAGTGCTACATCATTCCATGCTAAAACAGCATCATCCATCAAGCAGACAAGCGCGAGAGTGAAGGCATGGCCCAGAGAGACATCCTGCTGTGACAGTGAGCTCCTTGAAAAGGTAATGACAGATCTGTAACCAGTGACACAATGTGATGGAGAATGTCATTAGAACATGCATACACCCCAAGCTATGCTTTGTGCAACATGGTAAGAAACAGAAATTAGTTGAAGTGGTCGGATCATGCAATTATTGGGAAAGAAGCTGCTGAGGTGAATAAAAACATATGAATACCTGTGTAGGTCATAGCTTCCGCCATCTTTATTTCCTGATATAGGAAAATACAAGAGTAACTTATGTTAGCTTTAGAATAAAAAGAAGTACACCACCCCTCCAAGCAAACATTGACTATGTAGTTTTCCGTACACAACATCAAAATCCTAGAAAGAAAGATACTGTGTTAAATACAGACAGTGCTAAAGTCCAGCAGTTTTTCTATTAGATGGTTCAAAATAAGGATTAGAAATGATATAGATTATATAAAGGTTTAGGGTAAAACAGGCAGGAGACCATATGAAAAATGGAGAAGACTGAGAAAGATGGAACCACTTTAAAATACTTTTCTGGAGGTCCACGTAAAAATTTCTAGAAGTTTTAGTACACGTAAAATTTTGATTATTTTTGGACAAAACGTTGAACAAATAAAGAGTCAATAATCATCTCACTTAGGAACTGTTTAAGCAGAGTGTAGCACTAATTATCTGCGACTGCTCCCTTTTTAGAAAAAAAAATCACTCAATTTGCCCTGGAAATTCACCTTTTCAAACAAAAAGAAAGTATCTCCCAGTTACACTTGAGGCTACTAATAGGTGCCCTTCATTTCCTTAGATCTTTCCTGCAGCCAGGGGCAGGGATGGGAGATATGTTATTGTCTCTTTTGGGAAACACTAGCCCAGAGGGGACACAGGACTTAGAGCCTATGAGAAGCAACTGACTCCAGCTCACCACCAGGGACTCCTCTCATTTCCCTGAGTAGAGTCAGACCATCACTGATATGAGTACTGTGCTCTCTGAGGAAGAAATACCTGAGTGTAATATTTCTAGTTCCTCTAATAATTGGTTTAGTTTCCAGGTCCTTCTTATGACGTAGAGGTGTGTACATGTGCATGTGCATGTGTGTGTGTGTGTGTGTGTGTGTGTGCGCGCGCGTGTGTGTGTAAGATTTAGGATACAGATCAACAGATAAGTAGAATATTTGAAAAGATTTGATCTGAGTGAGTCAATGAGCCAAAGACCTATTTTAAAGTCAAAACTGCCTCCTCTGACTGGCGACAGGCCATGAGGGTGTTCCATAAGAAGTATCGACTAATGGCTGAGACAAGACATTTCTCAGATTTATAGTTTCTCAGACCCTCGAACATACAAGCCTTCAGTACTCTATCATGCTGGAAAGGACAAGTGTTGATGTCAATCATTTCCTGCCCCTTCAAGTCACAGGGGCCAGAGAGAGAGAACTGCTGACTTAGATTTTGCTCATGTTTGCTCTGCCAGGGAGCCATACAGACAGCGGCAGTTCAGGACTCAGGGAAACACAGCTGCTGCCTGAATCCAGCTTGTCAGTTTTCTGGGTTTGGCATGCTCTGCCATCCCAACACACTCGCCGACAGCAGCTCACTCCTTTCTGAGGGCAGCTGGTATTCCCATTTCTAGGAGGCTTATCAGAATATAACTCAGTAACCAGGAAAGAGTTAACACACACACTGACAAGAATTGCCCCCCCAGGAGCCAGAGGAGAAAGCAGCAAGTTTAACACCGCAAGTCAAGGAAGGGACATCAGGCAGATTGCATACAGGCCCAATTATACTCTGTTCCCAAGATACCCAATTGTTCATATATCTTGTACAGATGGGAAAGGCTAGCAGAAGAAGTCCAGTTCACTGTGTCATGGACTGGGATCTTTTTGGGAGAACTCCAAAACATAATCGGCAGGAACAGGGTTTTGTGTGTTTCTGTCCAAATTCCCTTAAAAATAGGACATTCACCTAGAGTATATCTTATGACTGTTGACAGCAATAACAAATAAATCCCTAAAGCTGTCATCCCACCTTCCAATGGATGCTTCCACCAGGAACTGAGGTTTACTTAGAGAGCAGATTGTGGAAATGATTGGAATAAAATATTCACCAAGGGCGAGAGGAGAGTGCAAACGGCTGGCACACATGCCTGGCATCACACACAGGGCTCTGGGCTTGATCTGTGGCACTTCATAGCCTATCCAGTGCCATGGATAGGTGGAGGTTGCTCTGCGCCACTGGACATCCCCTGCCTCCAAACTGATATTTATCAAGTTATTGATATATTAAATCTTTCCTTAATGCACCCACAGGAAAACTTAGAGAGAATTGCCTAGAAAGTTACCTTGATCAAGTAACCTAAACCTTTATGCATAAAAATGTTTCAAAGGCTGAAAATGTGAAAACAGAAATTTTTCTTTTCTTTTTTTTTTTTTTTTAGGGAATATAGGAAAACAGTGTTTTCCCCCTTACCAACTTCAAGGCCTTTTGGTCTTGGGTTGCACTGCTTATATCCTTGGCAGCTTCTCAGCTCCATCAGTTGCAGGTGTAGCTGATTCAAAATGCCTCGTTCTACAGTGTGCACTGTATTTGTGAGCTGTGGGTGAAGAAGCCGGATAATTAATTTAAATTAATGCTCTGCTTATTCTACTTTAGCAATATTCATAAAATGGAAACATATTCACTTACTTGATAAGGATCTGTATTCATATCAAAATACTCCAAGAAGCCAGTGGCAAACTCACAGAAAAGAAAATTATGTGTCTCATTAACTGTACGCAAACACCAGTAGGTGTTATTGTTAGAACTCGTGCAAGCACAGAAAGATCCCACTGTTGATTAAACAAAGGAAAAAGAAAAACAGTAAGTGATAAAAGTGTAGATTATCTAGTCACTCCAACTTTCACTTATCTTTACAGTGTGGCCTTTGGCTTGTTTGTGTGCTGCAGCATCAGGGATGGAGCACAGGACTTTGTACCCGTGAGACTGCTACTCTCCCACTAGGCCACACCCCTGGTCCCCTCATCTTTATACTTCCTGTCTGCGTTTCCTTTCCTGTGTGGCTGCACATTAAAAACATCTAGAGAGATAGAACAGGGACTAAGGTGGGCTGGAGCTATAGCATAGCGGGTAGGGCATTTGCCTTACACACGGCCGAACTGGGTTCAATTCCCAGCATCCCATATGGTTCCCCCAAGCACTGCCAGGAGTAATTCCTGAGTGCATGAGCTAGGAGTAACCCTTGAGCACCGCCTGGTGTGACCCCCCCCCTAAAAAAAAAGGAACAGGGACTAAGGTGCTTGCCTTGCACACAGCTGATCCCTGATACCACAAATGGACCCTCTGAGCAATACCAGGAGTAATCCCAGAGCACAGAGCCAGGGGTAAGCCCTGAGCACTGCTGTTTTGACCCAAAAGCCAATCATCTAACACCCAAACGAACAAAACACCATGCTTCCTCTTCCTCCCCACCACAATGCAAATTTGCTGTGAGATCTGGTAAAAACTGGGAGGAAATATCCATGGTGATCTACATTGGTGATTATAGGCTGAAGGTTAAGAAAAAGTTTCCAGCTCATGAGTTGCCTTCCCCATAGCTCTTGTCAAGCAGTAGCCTCCAAAATAGCGTGAGTGACTGGAGAATGGAAGAAAGGCATCAGATCTTCAACTGAAGGTTATTTTACTTAAAATAAAAAGTAAAATGGTCAGTTAATTAAAAGATAGACCTTGGGTTTGTTCTCTGTGTGATTTGGCCATGGTTAACAGATGGAAAGATAGATGGATTCTCTTTAACACATGATCATGAGATGCTTGTCTGATGATCATCTATTAAACTACAACAGGTTCTCTAGAGACTTTTAGAAAGTATGTTAATTGAAAAACAAATAAACAAATAAGACATTCTCCTTTTAAAGCCAGGTGAAAGTTCCGAATGTGCTGGTCTTTCCTGTAATAATTATTAAATTTCAGAATCATGTTGTATATGGGACTTAGAGAATCATGCAGGGGTTTAGAACACTTGATTTGCAAGCTTACGGTCATGAGTTCAAATCCTGAGAGTCCCACATACTTTATTGCAATCTCCAGCTTCACTGTTTGAGTTGGATAGCTCTGCCGTCAGCAACCCTTGGCATTACATGAGACATCTCACTGCGTGGCAGTCAGGATTGTGCCAATACCACAAAAATAAGGATGTGATCTTAACACAGTCTCGAAGTGTAGCCCTGATGAGCATGGGTGTGAGTATGGCAGGGACATTACTCCCAGCAGCATGTGTGCAAGCACCACAAGAAAAAGGAGTGCAAACTTTGGTGAGCACCATGGCTGAGTGTGTAACCACAGCCTTGGCGCACGCCCAGGGAGCACCAGAGCAACACATGTGTAAGCACCACAGCAGCCAGGCTGTGTGCAATCCCTGGTCATTGCAACAACAATAGCAACACTGGCGGGGAGGAAGAGAGGAATAGGAAACCAAAAATCAATACAGAATATTCACACATGAAAAGAAACATGTTTTATAGCAAATATTTTGAAAACAACTTGGATGGCTACATGTAATGAGCTTTTGTGCCTTGTCCTATGCATACATTTACTCACTGAATTCTTAAGATGAGCCTCAATATAGATGACTATTAGTAATCCATTTTACAGATGAGAAAACAAAGGCATGAGCAAGGTTAATTTTTCCGCAGTCACCACAGTTGACAAATGGCAACGCTGATTTCATTTTTTTTTTTTTTTGCTTTTTGGGTCACACCTGGCAATGCTCAGGGGTTACTCCTGGCGCTGCACTCAGGAGTTACTTCTGGTGGTGCTCAGGGGACCATATGGTATGCTGGGAATTGAACCCGGGTCAGCCGTGTGCAAGGCAAATGCCCTACCTGCTGTGCTATCGCTCCAGCCCCACAGATTTCATTTTTTGAGCTGTTTTAGATGTGCAGGAAAATTGAGTAGAACATATAGGGAGTTCCCATTCATTTCCCTGCCCACAGGTGCCCAGTCTCTCCTCAATCAACATCACTCAATATGGCAGTACATCTGTGCTCTGTTATCATCTATGCACTACACAGGTATCCAATTTTTACCTCTGCCCCCTTGGGATATTCTAGGAGCCCAGTCAGGACCTTATAACCCCTATTTGAAGAATGCTGATATAGTCCTTGCTGCAAGTTATATTTACCTCTTTTATTATACTTGAAATAAAGTACAAAAACTTTATATTTGTGGCAAAACTGTTTGTTGACTTACTTATTTAGAAATAGTGCAGTCCTTGGTTAAAGAAACTTTGGTACATCTACACAATGGAGTACTATGTAGCTGTTAGAAAAGATGAAGTCATGAAATTTACATACAAGTGGTACAATATGGAAAGTATCATGCTAAGCGAAATGAGTCAGAAAGAGAGGGATAGACATAGAAAGATTGCATTCATCTGGGGGATATAAAGTAACAAAGTATGAGATTAATACCCAAGAATAGCTGAGATCAGCACCAGGAGGATTACCCCATAACTTAGAGGCCAGCCGGGTATCCTAGAGGAAAGGGCAGTTCAGATAGAGAAGGGAGCACCAAATAAAGGATGTTTGGAGGATCCTCCCAGGAGGGGAGATGCATGTCGAAAGTAGACTATGGAGTGAACATGTTTGCCACTCAATGCCTCTTTTGCAGACCACAACACCCAAACGGAGAGAGAGAACACAGGGGATTGCCCTGCCACAGAGGCAGGGGGGGATAGGGGGATGGGGGTGGGAGGGATATTATCCATGGTGGTGAAAAACGGGCACTGGTGGAGGGATGGGTATCTGATCATTGTATAATTGAAACCTAAGCACAAAAAAATTGTAAATCTACAACTGTAAAAAAATAAATAAATTAAAAAAAAAAAGAAAAAAGAAATAGTGCAGTCCAATTGTACTGGAACTGGCAGTATGTTCTAATGATAATGTGAAGTAAATCATTATAGAAACACCCAGGGAGCTGGAAAGACAGTGTACAGGTTAAGGTGCTTGCCTTGCATGCAGCATGTCCTGATTCAGTCCCTGGCACCACATACCAGAATCCCTGATCACTACCAGCAGACCTTCTTGAGCACAAAGCCAGGAATAGATTTGGAATATCCCTGAGTGTGGAGGAAGGAAGGAAGGAGAAAGGAAAGGAGGAAAGGAGGGAGGGAGGGAGAAATGAAGAAAAGGAGGGAGGAAGGAAGGAAGGAAGAAAAGGGGGAAAAGGAAGGGAAAGAAAGAATGGAAGAAAGAAAAAAGAAGAGAAGAAAAAGCATAAAAGGGAGGAAGAAAAACATAAAGACAGAGAAACTAAGGTAGGGCTTGGCTCGAGCGGGCCCAGTAACGTCTCCATTGGAGACTTTGTTGTTACTGTGTCTGGCATATCGAATACTCTCGGTAGCTTGCCGGGCTCTCCGAGAGAGGGCTTGGCATTTTATTTATTATTATTATTATATTATTATTATTATTATTATTATTATTATTTTGCATCACACCCAGCGTTACTTGGGGGTTACTTCTGGCTCTTCACTCAGGAATTACTCCTGGCAGTGCTTGGGGGTCCATATGAGATGCCAGGGATCGAACCAGGTCAGTCATGTGCAAGACAAATACCCTACCCGCTGTACTATCTCTCTGGGCCTGGCATTTTAAACATAATGCCAATAAAAAGGGGTAAAATTATTTTTTTTTTGCAAAATAAGAGAAAAATTTGCTGCCAATAAAGACCATTGTGATGTTTTCCTCTGGAGGGGTTGGCTCTGGGCTAGTCTAAGCAGCTGGGGCAGCGTCTCTGCTCTCTGTATGGGGGCGCGGAGACTCACGGTTCCAGAAGGGGGCCGTCTGCCAGTGGTTGTTGTCGTGTGTGAAGCAGGTGAGCCCTGGGAGGCTGCATTCCTCTCCCTTCCTCTGCCGCTTCTTTTCCTTCCGCTCTTTCTTCCGCCTCCGGTTCTCCTTGAAAAGCTGAAGTTTGCTGTCTACTTCTTGAGCGGCCTCCCTATTTCCACACAGGGGATTAAAGAGATTGTTTAAATTGGAGTAACATGTCATAACAGCTGTATCTGTGTTCCAGGCATGCAGCACTATAAATTGACATCTGGATTCTTAATAAATAGAAAGTATTTCCTCAAAAAATAAGATAGTTGCTCTGAATCTCCACAAACATATAAACCCAGGATAATGGAGAAATGATAAAAGATGACCTTTATTTTTCACAGAGGCCTCAAAATATAATCAACAATAGAGAAGGCAAACTTTTTTAAGTAACAATTTCCTCAGCATTTTGCTGAATCTTATGGGGATCAAGATTTTCTTTATAAAACTTTGGTACAACTACACAATGGAATACTATTCAGCTTTTAGGAAAGATGAAGGCATGAAATTTGCTTATAAGTGGATGGACATGGAGAGTATCATGCTAAGTGAAATGAGCCAGAAAAAGAGGGATAGACATAGAGCTTCTGCACTCATTTGTGGAATATAAAATAACATAAATATGAAACTAATAATCAAGAACAGTAGAGACAAGGGCCAGGAAGATTGCTCCATGCTTGGAATCCTGCCTCATGAGCTGTGGGAGAAGGCAGTTGGGATAGAGAAGGGATCACTAAGTCAATGATGGTTAGAGGAATCGCTCGGGATGGGAGATGTGTGCTAAAAGTAGATAAAGGACCAAATACGATGGTCTTTCAGTATCTGTATTGCAAACCATAATACCCAAAAGGGGGGGGGGGAGAGAGAGAGAGAGAGAGAGAGAGAGAGAGAGAGAGAGAGAGAGAGAGAGCAAGACGGAAACTGTCTGCCATAGAGGCAGGGAGAGGTGTGGGAAAGGAGGGGGGGGGGATACTGGGGACATTGGAATGGAAAGTGTACACTGGTGGAGGGATGGGTATCCAATCATTGTATGACTGAAACTCAAACATGAAAGCTTTATAACTATCTCACAGTGACTCAACTTAAAAGAAAAAAAAAGGTTTTCTTTACATGCACCCCCCTAGGTGGCAATAACTGTCAATGGAAGCCCTGGATCTTTTTTATCCACACTGTTGGGACAATTGACTTTTTTCCAATGGTTCATATTTTGGAGGATATCACAGTACATTTGATGGCGCTTGGGTTCACTACCCCTGTCTGTGTGCTTGGCCAACACAGAGACTTGAACCACGGTCGGCCACAATGTAAGGCAAGTGCACTGACCCCTGTGCTATCTCTCTGGGCTCAGTACTAATGCCATGAAGACTTACACAAGGCTTCTAAAGTTCTTTGATAAATCGTACAAAATAGACATGGAAAGAAGTTTTTAATTTTCTTGATTTTTCCATAAAAGCCACAATATTTTTTATTGTTAAAAATTATAGTCCCATCCAGTGGTGCTGAGGTGGGGTTCATGTAAACATGCTAGGCAGCTGCTCTACCACTCGAGTTGCTTTCAAGTCTCCAAGGGCTTAATTTTTGTTGAGTCTTAAATAGAAAATCCCCTTTACACTCAAATTTTATTAATCTTAAAAAAAAAAAGTAATCACATTTCTCCCAACTTGCAGAAGTCAACACCGTTTCAGAATGCTCTCTAGAGCACATGGGCCTAAGCAAGAGAGTTTCATCTCCCTGATACTATCCACAGTGCATGGAATAAAACCCAGATACCTGGCTCAAATATCAGCAGACAACACTTCAGAATTAGATTAGAACTTCCTCTTAAAGGATCCTCAAAACATCACCACTGTCTCTTGTTCAGGTGTTGGCTTTATTTTATCTGCCCTCCTAGCTGAATCAAGTTTTTTCCAAGTTGCACACCTTGGAAGATGGGAGTATCTATGGCCTTTCAGAAATGCTTGGCAGAGAGCCCTGTTCCTGCTCCCCCCTTCCCGAAATGTAGGAAACAGAGACTTACTTGAATGGGTGAAGATGGCTTTTTAATTTTTCTTGCTTCTTCGCACCTTTCTCTTTGTTGTAATAACTGTAGGCAAGAGGATCAATTAATTAATTAATTAATTTTTTATTAGTGAAACATCATGAGGTACAGTTATAGACTTACAAATTTTTGTGATTGGGTTTCAGTTATACAATAATCAAGTACCCATCCCTCCACCAGTGACCATTTTCCACCACCACGGGTCCTGAGGCAAGAGGATTTATAAAGTGAATCTTCATAATCACACATTTGATCAAATTAGTTCTTTCCGGGTGGTTTTGGGGTTACACTGGACCATGCTTGGGATCTACTCCTGGCTCTGGGCTAGAAGAGTCACTGGGATGGTACATGAAGAGTCACTGGGATGGGAATTAAAACTTGGCCTCTTGCATGCAGAGCATACACTCAGTCCATTGAGCAATCTCTCTTACCTTTGAGCAGTTCATTTTCTTAAATAGAAATCAAAATATAAGGAAGGTGATTGCTTTATGGTAAATATCTTAACTCCATGGGACTTACTAAGGTTTATGACATAGAGAACTTGTCCTGCATAGTTTCAGGTAGTGATGATGAATTCGAATTCTTATGCTTCTGACTGGCTAGGAGATGCACGTGTTGTGCAGATCACTGTAATCACTGTATAGCACGTAGAAGTGTGTTTGGAGAGGAGACAAGGCTACGTGCTCACCTCTGCTTACTGCAGCTGCATTCCTCAGGCTTCCTCCTCTTCAGGTGTCCTCTCACTTCTCTTAAATTCTTAATCTTATCTTGCAGAGCTTCAATCTGGAGGGTTGATCAGCGACAAGTTAATATCAGGCATTTTTGTACTAAGTGCTTGTTTTCAGTTCTTTTTTTTTTTTTATTCCGTAATTATAGCTATTCATCTAGGAAGATAATGAGCTGGGAAACCAACTGGGCATAGACTCTGTCTGCCTCAATCGTTCTCACTAATATGTTACTGATACTAATATGTTAACCTCTGTCTCTTTTTATCCTTGACACATTTTCTCAGAATTTTTAAAAGGTCATTGTGTCACTCTCCATTCTCGTCAGACACTGCTTTTCTTCAATCAGAATTATCATGGTATAAGTAGAGAGAGATAGAACTTGATTGTTCCAGTGTCATCATCATTTTTAAAGAGATGAAGTAGACGCATGGATTGGCCCAGAACCACATCAGGACCGGGGAGCTAAGTTTGCATTGGGATCACAGTGCCGCGCTCACCTCTTTATCGATGTATGCCTTGTGGTCTTTCCAGGCTCGGGCTGACTGATACAGTTCTCTCTCACAATGGATTGTATCATTTGGAAGAATGAAGCACCTGAATAAAAATTTGAAACATTAGAAATAGTTTCATGCTCTAATATTTTTTAAAAAAAAGGATGGGAGGAGGCAGAGATATAGCTCAAGGGGCTGGAGTGTATCCTTTCTGTGCATGAGGAACACATGCTACCCTGGCAGTATACAGTTCCTGGAATGATACCTGAGTAACTGTGCGAGGAATAGCTCCTGCTGGCACTGTACTGGGAGCATCCCCAGAGCCCTACGAGGTTGGCTCCAAAAATGAAAATAGATTAGATGTGTTACTATTGTCAGTAAAAGATGAAATTAGACCTGCTGAGACACGATGGATGTAATAAAAGACAATTATCAGATGGTTTCACTCATAGAGAATTCTGAAGAAGAAAGTCAAACAGAAAACAAAGACTTCAAATTTAATTTCTAGACTCTGTAAAACTAAGGTGGTTACCAGAGAGACAGGGTGAGTGGGAAGGCTGGGCAGAGTCGGGTAGTGCTGGAGCGCTGGTGGTGGATGTGTGGAGTCTTACACACAGAGAGAGGTGTTAAGCTGTGAATCTGTTTTATACATGAATAGATACCAGTTTAAAATTCAAAAGCTCGAAAAACAGTAGAGGAAGCGGAGTTGCCTTCTGAACACGGATGCACACGGTGGGTTAGAACTGAGACAAAGACAAGAAAAAGTAGCAACGTGGGGCTGGAGCGATAGCACAGCGGGTAGGGCGTTTGCCTTGCACGTGGCGACCCGGGTTTGATTCCCAGCATCCTATACGGTCTCCCGAGCACCGCTAGGAGTAATTCCTGAGTGAAGAGCCAGGAGTAACCCCTGTGCATTGCTGGGTGTGACTCAAAAAGCACACACACACACACGCACACATGAAAAAGTGGCAACGTGGCCTGTGGCCTGACTATGGCTGCAGGCAAAGAATGGCCTTGGGGGGTCACTGAGACATCCTCCTACCCCCCCCCCCCCCCCCCGCATCAAAGCAAGGCAGTATTGGTGGCTCTACAGCCAGGGGTTCATCCAACACTTTTGGTTTGAAAGACTCATTGAATACTGTAGGGGAAATGCAGGTTTCCACCAGGAGACCAGGAGTGGCTTGTCAGGAGTTCAGCAGTCAGAAGGGCTCTCGCTGCTCATCACATGCAAGTTGTTATTTCCTCAAATGTCCCACTAACTGTGAAGCAAAGCAGCAGTGTCAGGAAAAATAGGACAAGTGGGACCTGGGGTCAGTCAGCACTGTATAGGAACAAATTCTTGTCTACAGCTCTCTGCACTGAACATGCTGCAGTGACTTCCCGAGAGAGACCAGTTGTGAAGATACATCCCTGCAGACTCCTGGTAGCTGCATACACCGAGTGATGAAATGAAAGAGAAGATAAATAGAATTTGGAAGGAAGGAACCAAGGCAATCTATGAGAGCTGTGAAAGGGATCACTGGAGACTTCTATACTCTCTGGAACTGGACTATGTATTTCACTTTTGGGGGAGGCTGGGGAAGGGCACAGCTCAGGGATCACTCCTGGCATTGCTCAGGAGATCATATACTGGGCCGGAGATTGAACCAGGACATTGCCTACGACATAAATGTCTTAACCCATATCCTAGTTCTCCCGGCCTCCCAGAGTTTTTATGCAGACCAGTCTTCCAATACCATATTACCAAGAACTTTATAAAAATTGAATTAATTAGGGGCTGAAGCGATAGCACAACGGGTAGGGTGTTTGCCTTGCACGCTGCTGACTCGGGTTTGATTCCCAGCATCCTATATGGTCCCCCAACATTGCTAGTTGTAATTCTTGAGTGCATGATCCAGAGTAACCCCCGTGCAATGCTGGGTGTGACCCAAAAAGAAAAAAAATGAATAATAGTAAAAAAGAAATCTTGGGACTACTTCCTAAGAGATGCCCACTCCTGAAGGTGCTTGGCTCACCAGGTTGGACTCAACACCAGAGACCAGCAATAGGATGCTGCTTTCACTGAGCAGTGCCAGTGGCAACCAGGGCCACCTTAGCATGCTTGGGGGCGTAAGTTCAACACCCAGTGATGCCTGAAGGGTCCTATGCTGGGTCTGGAATTCGGGGCCTAGCACACACAAGGCACACAACTCTGAGATTCATGCTTATCTCCTGGTCCCGAGAGTACCATTTTTTTTTTTTGCTTTTTTGGGTCACACCCGGCTATGCACAGGGGTTACTCCTGGCTCTGCACTCAGGAATCACCCCTGGTGGTGCTCAGGGAACCATATGGGATGCTGGGAATCGAACCCGGGTCAGCTGCGTGCAAGGCAAACGCCCTGCCCACTGTGCTATTGCTCCAGCCCCGAGAGTGCATTTCACAAGAGGACAAAATCATAATGCCGGGGGTGAAGAGGGGCGACTTAGAACTCAGACCCCCACAAACGCCTCCAGCTTTCCTACTTGTGTGTCACTCGGACAGTGGAGGGCAGGCCCACGGCGTTGCTGTCTGCCAGCATCATGTCCCTGTTGCCACCGCTGGTATCTGGGCGCCCCCCGGCGCCCCTGTCATGGCGCTTGGCAATGCTCCTGGGCTGCAGCACTTGCAACTCCTCCTCTTCCAGGTTGATGTCGTATATTTCACCTTCAAATTCCACAGACAGGGAACGGGTCTGCCGGGTGTGGACAAATCGGGGCTTGTATTCTGGGAATGAGAGAGGACACATACGCATGTAGTTTGGGAAAGAAGATCACTGGCTCCCTGAGCACCCGGGAAGTGGGCAGATAGTGTGCTCAGCCCCTGGACAGGCGGGATGAGGCTGCAGACACCTAAACGCACTGCGTGGACGGGGTGAGGGCGTGGCCTTGGTCTCTCTCTGCCTAATTTCACTGAGGAATGACAGCTTCTATGGGTTCCAGGCCCTTTATCCCTCCAGGGAGGGGTATATCTGGGCGATCTCTAAGATCCTTTCCACATAGAACATGTTGTGAATTAAAGTTCTAAAAAAAAAAAAACACAACCCAAACTTTATTAAATATCCTATAGACACAACATGTTGTGGCTTTCAGGTACAATGTAATGTTTCACTTTCGTTATTTTCATTAGTATTATTTTCTGACATTCAGCTGTGCCCAAGGCTTACTCCTGGCTCTGTGCTCAAGGATCACTCCTGGGGTACTCTATGTAATGCTGTGGCTCAAACTCAAGTGTGCTGTATGCAAGCCTTACCTGCTGTGATATATCTCCAGCCCATATATAAAAATATAAATAAAAATTTAAAAAACCCATAAAACTAGATATATAGCACAGCGGGTAGGGCATTTGCTTTGCACACGGCCAACATGGCCAACCCTAGTTCGAGTCCTCTGTCCCTCTCGGAGAGCCCGGCAAGCTACCGAGAGTATCTCGCCCGCACGGCAGAGCCTGGCAAGCTACCTGTGATGTATTCGATATGCCAAACACAGTAACAATTGTTACAATGGAGATGTTACTGGGCCCGCTCGAGCAAATCAATAAACAATGATATACAAATATAAATATATATAACAAAATAATATGTAGCAATATATTATATTAAATATACATATTTGTTTTGTTTGGTTTTTCGGTATTAGAATAAATCCTTCTGTTAAAAACTGATCATATTGCCATAACAGGCTTTATTACAATAAGAATAAGAACACTGAAGCTTTGGCTGTTACGATCATTTGGCGAGTTTGCACAACCAATAGCTGTGAAACTTAGAATTATAATCTATAAGCTTCCAAAGATTATGAAGTGTTCCCAGAGCAGTGAACTGCGTCTTCAAAAGGGAAATACTCTAGATACATTTTATTTGCATAAATAATAGAAGATTGCTCTAAGAAAGGTTAAAATTTCCAAAACTGATTTAACACATAGCTGATGGGAGATAATGCAGGGGAGACCAACGCATTTTTCTGGTTTGTAGGGAGCACTGAAAAAGTGCGCAGTATTCTAGAGAAGAGCGTAACTGTGCAAGTGTGGCTCTCGCTTATCAGATGCATATGGGGTCTGTGCAGGTGGACGCCTTTCTTCCAAAAGATATAGGAAGGAATTACCAGAGTTGAGTCACTTTTTATATCATGCCACTAGATGGCACTAGACTCTTATTCTTCAATGGAAGATGCCTGATTGTTGGTTTTCCTGTCTATTTCATAGGGGTTTTACACAAAAATTTTTAGGCAGTGTTTTTCATATTTATTAGACTATTTTGACCTTGCCAGTCAACAAAAAGAATCAGGAAATGTCCTAATAAATAAATCCCACTTTAAAAAAGTATTTATAATTGGGCAGAGTGATAGTACAGTGGGTAGAGTGCTTGGCTTGCACATAGCTGATCTGGGTTTGATACACCCCGAACCCCACCAAGAGCACTGCCTGTCGGGGCCCTCAAACACAACCAAACAAAGCATTTATGCTTTTTCTTTTAGTTAAATGAACAGGCATTGAAATCTTGGCTTTCATTTTTACTTTCTTTTTTCCTTTCCTTCTCTAAACAATTTAAAGTAAAAACAGATCTTATGACAATAATGTTTAGATAAAATAAAATGGACTTAAACTACACCCTTTGCCCTTATCCATACCCTTTGTTTCCATGCAACTCTTTAATGTGTGTGTACATTTAGCATCTAGTGGTTTTGATAATTGCATTATATGCTCCAGGGAAAATATCCTATGCTTAAATGAAAACCAAAATGCAAATTAGGTTAGCTTTTACATGAAAAAATTGGTGGTTGTATTTTTTTTTTTTTAGTTTGGAGGCCTTACCCAGCGATGTTCAGGGCTTCCTCCTAGCTCTGTGCCCAGTGGTGCTGGCAGTTGAACCAAGGCTAGCTGATCTGATGCAAGGCTTACCTGTTGGACCACCTCTGTAGCACTCTTTCATTGGAAAAAATAATTGTTTGCTTCTGTTCATAAAACTATACCATTGATAAGATCCCAAATATAGGAGTCAGTCCTTTGTCTCTCTAAAGTCTACTCACAAAGGCTGTGGGCTACCCCTGATGTACACCCAAGTGACGGCTTACTTGGCGCTCCCTGGTTTCTGAGGAACTGCCGCTGACTTTTCCTCTGGCTTCTGCTGGCTCGGTAGCTGGCCTCTCCACAGTGGCACTCTTTGTCCTTGTCATGGAAGCCGCGGGAGTAGAGGTTTCGTGTGCTCTGTCGGGCTGTGAGCAGGTCGGTAGAGCCTTTACACTTGTGAATCCGAAGTTTGCCTGACGTGTCTTCAATGCACTGCCACTTCTGTGAAAGTCAACAAGGAAGAGGGTGATTGTCAGACCCCGCTCTGACTGGTGGCTCTTGGCTCTGTGTCGCCCTGGCTTCCTTCTACCAGGAAGATGAGCATTCCTCTAACAGGTCCTTCTTTTATATGATCCTGGACTAAGTTTCCTCTCACCCTTTCAATGAATTGATTCACTTTTAGTTTTTAGCACATACCCAACTATATTCAGGGATCACGATCACTGGCAGTGCTCGGGGTCCGTATACAACACCGGGGATCAAACTGACATTAGCTGTGTGCAAGGCAAGTGTCCTACCTGCTGTATCATCTCTCAGGTCGACCTCCCACCCTTTTTAAAAATTTTTTTGGTTATATTTTTACACTTCAGACAGGAGAGTGAAATGACCGGGAATAAGAACTACACTATGAAGCTCAAGTCAAAAATTGTATCTATACATCCTTAGCAGGCAGACTAAACAGAGTCTTGAAGGAATCATGGGCCAGTGTTGACTCACCCCCCCCCCCACACCCCTCCACCCAGCACAGCTGTCAGAACCATTTTCACCAACCCTCTCTGGCTCTGGAAAAACAAACATGGCTGCTTTGTTCTTGGCCCCTGGATTCCTCATGGGAGCTGGGGAAAGAGTGGTGCAGGAGGAAGACAGAGATGAATTTCATCTGACTCCACCACAGGGCCAGCTAAGTTCACAACTCTGCAGACATTAGCAGAGGTGTCAGGTTTGCTTTTAGCCATCTACAAAATTGGCACCACCTGGCAAAGCTGCCAGTTCCAGAGAGGGAGCACTCACCTTCCCAAAACACACACACACACACACACACACACATACACACACACAGAGCGGCTTTTGGGTTTTTGAGTTTGGGTCTTTTATTAAGAATGCTGGGGACCAGGGGCTGGAGTGATAGCACAGCGGGTAGGGCATTTGCCTTGCACAGGGCCGACCCGGGTTCGATTCCCAGCATCCCATATGGTCCCCCAAGCACCACCAGGAGTAATTTCTGAGTGCAGAGCCAGGAGTAACCCCTGAGCATTGCTGGGTGTGACCCAAAAAGCAAAAAAAAAAAAAAAACCCAAAAAAAACCCCCAAAAACAAACAAACAAAAAAGCCAGGTTGCTGGGGACCCTAGTGGTGGGTAAAGGGACTGGTAAAGGGACAGTAGAATGTTCTATGTTCTATGACTGAGACCCAATCATCAAAAACCTTGTAACTCTGTATCTCACTGTGATCCAGTAAGAAATGAAAAGTAAAAGACAAGAATGTCAAGGATACTGCAGACTCAATCCTGGATTGTTAGGCACAGCCTTGGGGTTTGGTATCCCCCAGACCCTCAATGTCCCCTCAGGCTCTAGAACTTGACCCAGTGTTTATTGTATGAGCTTTTCCATCTCTTTTTAAAAAGGGGGGCGTTGCTGAGGTCAATTAGTGGTGTATTTGCCCTATCCCTGGCCCCATAGGTTTTGGTAAGTGAAACTCCGAGTGAATAAAAGGGGGAGCACTGTGCTAGGAATCCCCATAAATATGTATGTGATTCTTTGTATATACAGTTTAACTTTACTTTTATGAAAAAAAAATAATCAGAATTGAGAATGTGGCTCAGTGGGAAAATATGCCTTGTATGTGGGAGACTGGGGGCTCCATCCTTGACACCGCAAAAAATGAAACAAGATAAATTAAATTAACAATAACCCCCCAACAAAACCCCAAAGCCAAAACCCAAGTTAAAAAATCGCTGTGAAAAAACAAAAAAGAAACCAACTGCTTATAAAATTTTTTTCCCCTTTTCTCCTCCCACCCTAAAATATAAATTTAAGAAAGCAGGACAAAAATTCATCTTCATTTAAGTTTACAACCGTTGTTAAAACATGTAGGCTAGCAAACGTCACTCTTTTCCCTAAAAAAATATGGGCTTTCTATATGGGATTTAAATATGGAATTTACTTATACTTAAAAGGGATACATTTCTTTTTTTATTATTATTATTAGTGAAACACCATGAGGTACAGTTGTAGATTTACAAATTTTTGTGCTTGGATTTCGGTCATACCATGATCAAATACCCATCCCTCCACCAGTGCCCATTTTCCACCACCAGGATGATATCTCTCCCCCCCATCTCCCCATCCCCCCCATCCCTCCCTGCCACTGTGGCAGGGCATTCCCTTTTGTTCTCTTTCTCCTTTTGGGTGTTGTGATCAGCAAAAGAGGCATTGAGAAAAGGGATACATTTCTCAAGTGTGACCAAAGCAATGATATTTGCAAAATTGTGTTTGTTGTGCCAGTTATATAGTTTCAAGTACATATAAAATAGTGTCTAAAAATATTAAAATTCTTTCATGTATCACCCATAATGGCTTTACACATGCTATTTAGATACTTGTATGACATCAATAGGCTATCCTTGGGTGCTACATTGGTTTCAAAGTGCCCAATACAAGGATCTTAGATGATCTTGGTTAGAAGCCAAGACGGTTTACAGAATGGTATACGACCACACATAATGGGTCAAGATGCAGAGTCATGAAGTCAATGGCCCCACAAGACATTCTCTGCATCCTCTCTTTTTCAGTCCTAGAACCAGTCCCACTATTTCTTTCCCAGTAGAAGCTCAAATTATTTTATATACATATTTACTTTCTTCACAATGATTAGTTCAGAACACCTTACATGCAATTCACTCTCTTTCCAGAATTAGCTACATGTCTCCTGTTACCCACCTCCCAGAAAAAAACAAATCTATAGAAACCAGGAACTTCTCACCTTTGCAGCTCAGACACATATCATAAAATCAACAACATCAAAAATACTTCCCAAAGAATGCTGGAGAGACTTTCTCTGCAGAAACCTCCACTGTGTCAGTCCAGTGTGTTTTTCCTCTAAGAAACTTGCATTGCTCTCACCTAAACCTTTTCTCTCTCCCGGTAAATTATTTTATACTCCGTGGCTTGGGTCCAGTAGGGTCCGGATTTGAGCTCCCCTCCCTGCAGTGGACATGATTGATCTTCACATTAAGGCTTCGGCTCTCTCAGATATGACCAATTAGCTTGAGAAAGTGCTATGAAATTCTCAACAATGTTTTCAAAAATGATGCACAACTCTATTAGGAGATAATTACATGCCACCTAGAACTCTAGCTGTGTAAATATCGCCTAGTAGATGATAAACTTTCATAGTTCCAAAAACCTGGAAATAAGTAATGTGTGAGTGTCTATATCTCTGTCTTAAATCCAAATGGCTTGGTTTATCCAACCACTCGGGTAATCTCCACTTTGAACATTCAAAAATGGAGAGTTGACTACTTAATGCCCATAGTAGCAGCAGAAGTGACCAGTGGCATCACAATTGCCCATCAAGTAGAAGTTTAAGAAGTCCTCTAATTTCCTGGGGTTGGAGCGATAGCACAGTGGGTAGGGCATTTGCTTTGCACGTGGCTGACCCAGGTTCAATTCCCAGCATCCCATATGGTCCCCTGAGCACCACCAGGAGTAATTCCTGAGTGCATGAGCCAAGAATAACCCCTGTCCATTGCTGGATGTGACCCCCTCCCCCCAAAAAAAAGCAAAAAAAAGAAAAAGAAAGAGAAATCCTCTAATTTTCTATCAGAGCAAAAATTATGGTCACCTTCATTGCTAAAAATAATAGTCTTATATCTTTTCATTGCTCCAATTTATATTAACTTTAGTGCAATTACTAGCTCTTATGCATGTATCACAGTGAAAAAGGAGCTGGAGATACAGTTCAGAGAGTAGGCGCTTGCCTTGCATACGGCAGACCTGGGTTCAAATCCTGGCATCCTATATGGTCCTCTGAGCTCAGCCAGGAGTAAATTCCTGAGTGTAGGGCCAGGACTAAGCCCTGAGCACTGCTGAGTATGGTCTCCAAACAACAACAAAAGCAAACAAACTAATTAAACAACAGCAAAACATACTTTACTTCTATTACACAATAGCACTGTAGTAGCACTGTAGCACTGTCCTCCTGTTGTTCATCGATTTGCTCTAGCGGGCCCAGTAACGTCTCCATTGTGAGACTTGTTGTTACTGTGTTTGGCATATTGAATATCTCATGCGGAGCTTGCCAGGCTTTGCCGTGCGGGCGACATACTTTCGGTAGCTTGCAGGGCTCTCTGCTGTGCACAAGGCAAATACCCTATCGCTGGCCCATCGCTCCAGCCCCTATTACAGCAGCCCTCTTAGTGCAGTAGGCAGCGCGTCAGTCTATTATGCAATATATTTTTTAAAAATGCTCCTGGTATCTAATTATTTATTTTTGCCTGGGATTGCTGAAGGTAAAAGTAGGTTCTAGAAAGCACACAAATGCAGTTTTAGTGACTTAGTCTTACTTCCGATTCCAAATTCCTTGTTGATTTCCAGTGAGATGGAGATGCAGGAAATGTACGTTTTCTGAAAAATCCAACTTAACCACCCCTGGGAGCTGACTCTGTCCTTGGCACTGATTGAAAAATCAAATACACAGGCTAGATGAATAGTACAGTGGATAGGGTGCTTGCCTTGCAAATGGCTGTCCCAGATTTGATCCCTGGTGTCCCATATGATTCCCTAAGCTCAGTCGGGAGAGAGCCCTGAGTGCAGAGCCAGGAGTAAGCCCTAAGCACGGTCAGGTGTGGCACAAAAATACACACCCCTCCCTGCACCCCCCACAAAGGGAAAGGAACAAAAAAACTAAATGCATTCACATATTTGCAGGTATATGAACATAATACTACATGAACTGACACTACATAGAGATACACTTAAACACGTTCTTACATATAATAAAAGCCAATGACAAAAATGTCAATTATTTTCTATACTATGAATCCTTTGAACAAGTCATCAACCCTATTAGAGCAAGTAGTTAAAAGCTTTAAAATCTCAGTGTTCAGAAAGCAATGAATTTTTATGAAATGTAATTAGCACACATTTTCCACAGTCATCTTAATGTTCAGTATCATGACAATTTTCATGATTTTGTAATAAAATCTTGAAATAGTTATAACT